GTGTGTGTGTGTGTGTGTGTGTGTTTAAATTCAGTTTTGTATGTTAGCATTCTTTAAATGTCTGCCAAAAGTTTAATTTGAATTTCTGATCCCTGAAGGCAGCTAGACAGAATCATTCTAGTTCTTCATAAATTGCCTTCTATGATTCATTGTGAGCTCATAAAATACATTCATTTCTATATACTCAAACAGTTCAGGCAGCTACAGTATCAGGGATATAATCCCCCTCCCCCTTGCATTATATTTAAATTGTCATTTGAGAAAGAAATCAAGAATTAGCCTGAACTTCTAGTTCAGGCAGAGCCCCGCAGCACAGAAAACATCAGAAATAAGTGCTTCTATCTCAGAGAGGGGAAGGTAAACAGCTTAGGATCAGAAATTGAGGGAAGGGGGGAAAGTTTAGTTTTGAAGGAGTACTCCTGAAGAGGGGCCGATAAGTATTAGAGGGCTGTAGTTAAAACTCACATGACTGTTTTAAATACTGTTGATTTAAACCACTGGCTAGATTTTATGAATCAAAGAGTAATTTCTAAGCTTTGGCCATATTTCTCAATGCTTAAACTCCCTCTCTTGTGTGCCTTTAGCAGCTTTCCCGACGTCCAACACAGGATTAAATGGTAGTAGTTACAGTGATCAATAGGTTAAGACCGGTGCAATCACGCCTGCTGCTAATGACCTCAGTAGTGATGGGCAATAAAGTGTGGGCTGTAATAGCCTCTCGCTGCTACTGCATGCCCTTTGATTCCTACGATTAGTAGGGACTAGCTACATGAGAAAGTTGGATATTGGGAGTTCAGGCAGTTATATGCATAGGCTATAATGCTTAACTCTTTCAGGCCTTTGTACAAGTGGTGTACTGCTCAGGTGGTGGTGGGTGGTTCTCTACCCCATAATGGTTTCTGGACCATGTGGATATCTTTGTGAAAGCTTTCATGAGCTATATTCGGGACCTGGGGGAGCAGAAACTTGGGTGGGGATCTTGGTTTTATTACACTTGGAAAGGAAGCCCAAGCCCATCACAGAGGCGCAGGGCTAAGGGGTCTGAGAAGGTGATATTGGGTAGGGAAAGCCAAGTGAAGGCCACCAGGCTGTAATAAGCCACTTCCGGTGATTTTGAGGGCAGCCAGCCCCCTTGGGGAGTGGTGGGGGCTTGAGCTGCCCCCCCTCCTTTGGCTGTGCCCGCTGCTTTCACCTGTTATTGCCCATCAGGAGCTCCCCCAGAGACCGAAGGGGAGATGCAAGTTCATTTTCCTCTTCTGTAGCAGGACTTGCAAAGAATTAATCAGTAAGGAGCATTTAAACTATTGATGTTACAGAAGAGTTTCTATTAACTGTCTTCCCTTAACCCCCTTGATTATTGAAAATCAAGAGACTGGTATTTCTAATTTCAGAAGAATCAGAGTTTTGCCTGAGTTTATGTTTTTAATCATTTTGTTGGGGGCTCTTACAGTTTTTATCACAATCCATACATACATGCATTGTGTCAAGCACATTTGTACAGACATTGCCATCATCATTATCAAAACATTTTCTTTCTACTTGAGCCTTTGGTATCAGCTCCTCATTTTCCCCCCTCTTTCCCTCATGAACCCTTGATAATTTATACATTATTAGTTTTTGTCTGAGTCTTTTAAAAAAAATCCACCCACACCCACTGTTTTAGCATACTTTTTATTCCCTTAGAGTAATTTGGTTGAGATTGAATTTACAGACAGTAAATTTTAAAAGGATGAGAGTTCTGACAGTTGTATAAAGCCAAGTGACTACCACCCTTGTGAAGATTAGGGGTATTTCCATCACAGTCCCAAGTTTCTGTAGGCACTTTTCTAGCGTAGAATTTCTGTAACTCTTTTAAAAATTAAGGTATGTCCCACTGTTGTTTCTGTGATGGTTTCTATTATACCTCTGTTAAATTACATGTCCATTACCAGCTTAGATTTTACACCACCCTATTCCTGCCTCTCTTCCTGTTCATCACCATCAGAAATTTGGCTCCAGAGTATTTATATTGTACATAATCCAAGAAACTGTGGGGGGTGGGGGGTGGGGTGTGAACCTTAAACATGATTCTTTTGTTTGCTTAATCAAACCTCCCGTAGGATGATGCAATTCTCCAGGAAAAGTAAACTTATATTGTGATACATTGGCTGTAGCAACTCCAGTGTTAGTGATTGGCACTGGGTTTGTATTTTAAAATTCAAAAAGTTTCTTTTAGCAGAAGACGGGGTAGACAAGTTAGAATGACTGGGGCTGGCGAGATGTTTTGATAATGTCTTCTTGGTGTTTGCCCTAGACTTAATGCAACTTCACTGTTCTAGTCATTGGTGATATTTCGTGCTGTGAAGTATCTTTTCAAAAGGATAATTTATCCATTCATATACATCTGTCCCTTTCTGCATATAAAAATACCCAGACATGCCCATCTGTTTAAAATTACAGTGTATCTATATCCACCCTTAAAAGCCTACCACCACACTGGCAAGAATTTGTATATGGCCTTCCCAGGTTGGGCTAATGAAAATTTTCAAATGCTCCAGCCAGTGTTTCCTAAACAATGTAACACTTTCACATAAACATATCCTCCCACCACACACTACGTGAGCCACTGCCACAGTGGAAAATGTTCACTGTACATGCGTCTGACCTTCAGGAACCTTTTTTAGTTCATCAAAATTAGTGATGCTGAGAAATCGGGACATCAGTGCATAATGACTGTGAAATTAGGAATGAGAGCTCGCTATGCAAATGACAGGACAAATCATGTGAAAAAGTCAAGATAAACTGCATATTAAGACATTACGTTACATAAAATTAATACTGCATCTCCCTCTCCTTTTTGCTTACTGCTCCCCTGAAAGATTTTTTTTTAATTCTTTTTTATCTTCTGATCAGCTATTGTCTGCCAGATTTTTTTTTTAGTGGCACACAGGCAAAGTGCAAAACATGTTATTACCTTTTATTGTAATACATGAGATGACAGCCGATCCTTTTTTAACAAAGTATATCCTTTACTGCTTCTAGCTTCTTGCTGTCATGTTTGATTAGAAACCGAAGAAAAGTAAGATGCTTAAATATTACTGTTAGAAGACACAGGAGTTTTGTCTTTGCTCTCATTGTTTTTTCTTTCCTTATCTTTTTTGGGGGCGTGGGGTGGGGTGGGGGTGATTTTTCATGAAATAGTCTTCTTGCATTACGGGGACTGACAAAATGGTCCTCATGTAGTCTGCAAATTAAACACAAGTGCAGTGATTATTTTGAATAGCTAAATTACATTCTAGAAAGCTTGCAGAATTCATAGCATTGTCATTAGGTATCCGCTTGAATACAATTTGTGTAACCTTGGCCAAGACAGCCTGTCATTTTAATGTCAGTGTTTTATCTGAACAAGACATCATCCTTTCAGAGACAGTCTTCAGGTTCCTTGCAGAGATGCCCGCACACAAGCGTGTTAACAGTTGCAAATATGAAATGCTATCAAGTTCATCACTGGAGCTGTTTGTCACTGAAATGTCATGGAAAGCGGCTTTTAATGGTATCACAATATAAAAGAATTGAGGCATCTGTATGCAGGTGAATCAGGAAGTGGCAGAAGCATCATAGGAAGGGTCTGTGTTGAGTTCAGGGGTGCGGCCAAGGTTCACATATCCACAAGACTAAGCATACGTGTCGCTGCTTGTCAGAAGTCATGGTGCGTGGAGTAGTGGATTGTAGCAGCTCCAGCTAGGAAAGCGTTAGTTCCCTTCTTCCATAAACCACAGTAGAAGTTTGGGTTAACTTCCTGCAGCTGACTTTGACATACAAAATTGAGGTCGTTCTGCCCTAACTCCAGGTAGCATGGATTCGTAAAACCTTTGCTCCTTGACTGCTCACAAGGCCGTGTGTAATACCTGTTAGTGCTCTAAGGCTTTTTAACTTTCTCATGTTTAAAATAAGCCCCAGGAGATGAAATAGTAGCTTTTGCTGTATCCTGCTGAAGAAAAGCATTTTGCGTGGGGGGCGGGGGTATGGGGTGGTGGTAAATTCATTAGCTGGTGGCGGTGTGCAGACTCCACCCGCCAGGCTGCGTGTGTGCAGTCCCTGGCTTCCTATTTACCCTGCGCTAACGTGTTCTAGGTTCCCGTGTCAGTGGCTATGATGACACCTCAAGTTATCACTCCCCAGCAAATGCAGCAGATCCTCCAGCAACAAGTGCTGAGCCCTCAGCAGCTCCAGGTCCTCCTCCAGCAGCAGCAGGCCCTCATGCTTCAACAGGTAATTGTCCCTCCGCCTCCTCTTCCGCCAGCATCCCTGGAGCCTGTCACACCGTCCAGAAGTCCCTGGCACTAAAGAGGAAGCAGAGCAGCATGGGTGGGGCAAAGTGCAGTCTGATCCTGAGTACTTGCTGGCATTTACATCCCTGGCCCGAGGAGCCCTGCCCAATGACTCGGGTTTGGGCTTGGAGAGGACCCGATGAACTGAGATTAGGGCTGTAATTGGACTTGGTAGAAATCAGATCTTTTAGGCTTACATGGCTCTACTCTCTTTTATTTGGTAAGCCCAGAGGCTTCCAAATGATGTGAATCAAAGGAAAATGAGGAACATATCAGGAGGAGGTTGAGAAATGACAGTTCTCAAAGACCCTATTTCCACTCTGAAGCTTACAGAGTTTGGGGGGTGGTTTTGGTTTGGTTTCCTTTCCTCAACGTAAAGAAGCATTTTGGAGTTGATTTTACCTCTTCCATGCATGGTGATCTGGGGATGACCGCCTGGCTGCCTTCGGGCCACGGTTCCTACTCTAATCTTAATGCGCACCGGAACCTTTATGGAGGAGAGTCAGGGCGATGGTGCTGGCCGATGCTGGTGGGGGTGGGATGCGGAGGAAGTGGCCTGCGCTGCTGATGGGCACTCGGCACTGCACCCACCGCACCGACCCTATCATTTAAAAAGCCCCGTCAGGATCCACCAGACTCAAGCAAGGGCATTTTGGCTTTGTTGTTCCAATCAAAGGTCACTCCTTGCTTTATTTTAATTAGTTTGTGTAGAAAATGGTATGTTTTTCGTCAGTTCATTTCGGAGATTACTTTTCAAACAATAATGCCAAGAATAGTCAGTTGTGCACGGAATTTATCGTCGAGCTTAAAACTAAAGGTCAGGCCATTACAGATAAAAGGATGCTATTTTTCAAATCACCATTTTTGTGTGGCAGGAAAAGGGGCCGGTGGATTGGCGCTACCCTCTGTCACTGACCACCTTTGTCTTTCCTTTGTAGCAGCAGCTTCAAGAGTTTTATAAAAAACAACAGGAACAGTTGCAGCTTCAACTCTTACAACATCAACATGCTGGAAAACAGCCTAAAGAGGTACCGACAATACATATTTTACTTTCAAACCACAGGTCCCAGAGGACTATCTAGTGTCTATTAAACTGTCATTCATCTTTTAAATGATTGCACAACTCAGCTGACTCTTATCGGCTCTCAGCTTTCAGACTGAGAGTTACTGTCCTGTTTCGCTCCGATTTCTTGGAGTTCCGTTCGCTTGCCACTGCCGAGCAGTTGATACCAGGGCTGCACCTGCGCCTCATCCTGGTGAGGGGGTGTGGGAGAGCCCCAGGGGTTCCCAGTGCAGACTGGCACACCTGTGACCCTGGATGTCCCTGTAGGAGAGTGAAGGCCTTTCAGGAGTACGTTTTCACTCGGACACACTCTCAACTCTTCTCTTTCTCCCAGCGCAGAGACTCTGGGTGTGTGGCGACAGCCTCTTCCTCCTGTAGAGGAATCTCTTGCAAAGCCAGACACACAGACAAGAAGGTTAAAACAAGAATAAACACCCTAGTCTGTCCTTCCATTTATTTATTTATTGAAGACCTTGTAAGAGGGACATATTTCAATGTCTTAAAAACCTGGACCAGGTATCATGAGTTTGAGAGAAGTTTTCAGCAAGGGCTACGTGTGTATGATATAAACCAGACTGTATTGTGTGTGCACGGTACTTTGTAGCTTCCCTATGTTAGAGCAGTATGCCCTGCCTCCCAATTGGGTGAGAGCATTGGCCCCATAAAAATCACTTAAAACCGAGGGGGGTGGGGGAGGTTTCTGCTTCCCCAGCCTTCCAGGGTCTCCTGGGAATGAGGGCCCAGCCTTGTCATGAAGGCTGTGTGCGAGCCTTCTGAGATCTTTCTCTCCATTCCAAAGTTAGCCGGTTTAACTTGGCTCCTCACATCTCCGAGAGCAGGCAGAATTTCTTTTCACATGACTGGTCTAGGAGCAGCGCATTTGATAATTCAGTACATGATGCGCACTCGCTGTTCGGCCGGCCCTCAGCAGGCAAACACTTGGTGTAGTTCTGGGAAGGGGTCAACCCGGATGACTCTCTGCGCCCCTCTCCTTCCAACCAGCGGGGATGCCAGGCAGTGCAGTGGGGCACACTGGGAAGGCCCCAGAGCCCCACCTCGCCCGCGCCTTCTCCCTCTGCACCAACCGGGACTGCTTCACAGGCCCTGCCAGCTTGCAGAGTAGAGTCCGTTTTGGGGTGAAGGGGAAGGGGTGCTTTAATGAAAATGCTGACACAACCTTAAGTACAGTAGCGTGCTCCCGGGTGCTGCCATAATAAAAAAGGGAACAGATTAAAAAGTGTCTAAAATGTAAATCTAAAGGACTAACAGTAATTAAAATGGAAATGGCACAGGGAGGGAAGGCATGTAATTGTGAGATATCACTGTGCAGAAGGCTCTCAGCTTTGTTTTGCTGGCTGTTTTTCTAATTCAGCGGGGCTTACTCATCAGTGGCAGTTCAGTGCGCGTTAATGACTCGGGGATTGCAGGCATCACTCTGGACAAAGAAATGATTATTGTGCGGTCAAAAGAAGTTCAAAGACAAGAAGGGAATTTCAGTTTTTTCCTTAGAGATCCACATTCAAGAGCATATAAATTAAGCCAAATGTTAAAAACCACAGCCTGAAAGCTGACTTCAAAGTCACAACTCTCTAATTAATGAACTGCGAGCTTCAGTTTGGACAAGTTGTGGTTTGATGCGCCCATAAATCAACGTGACAGGCCTGCTTCACAGTCTCAGACAGTGCTTGTCATTGAGTCACATCAGATGTAAACACAGCAGAAAAAAGAAGGGATACGAAGGAGGTGCAATTGATCAACAGAATGGGTAAAAACCCACTTTTGAAGCACATTATGCATGATCACAGGAAATGGTTACAGCCTCAAGAGGTTTCCCCTTCTGCTGTTGCTTTTTTGAATCAGATTTCTAACAGCCTTCAAAAGGCAGAATAAGAATTATGGAGTTTCTCCCCTGTGGCTCGCAGGCAATAACCCCCTGTTGTTATTTTGTGCTTCCTTCTTTTCAAAGACATCAAAATTTAGTTTTTAAAAGATCTTTAACTCTATATTTGAAGACAAACAAAAAAGGGCTGCCACTGTCATTCTTATCAGTTACCAGGGATTGTGTTTTCCCTTTCTGTTGCCACTTCTTATTAACCTCTTATTTGGTCTGAGAGACGTCGTCGTTTGGAATGCACATCTGCATGCTGGGAGAACATGAAAGTTCAGATGCGCTCAGAGGGCAGAGAAAGAAATGGGAAGGGGAGAGTTACACAGCAGAAGGAAGGATAAAAGTTAATTCTCCCAAATTGCTGTCGTCAGGAAGGTGAGCATCTTGGGAACAGAAAGATGATGGAAGCATCTGAGGCACGGAAGGGAGGAAAAGGGGACCACTTTGTGTCCCACCTAAGAGGATGTGCCATGTGGCGGTAGCTGTTCCTGCCCGACACTAGGTTTGCCGTGGTCATGCTTTGTCATCCATCTCGTAGGCTAAGGTGACCCAGCCGAAGCGCTGCCTGGAGTCTCCTTAGAAGTCTGCAGAACAGGGAACAGGTCTCCTTGGAGTGCATTGTGTGCCCATTGTACCAGTAAGCTGGCCGAGACCTGCTGTAACAATGGCCAGAGAGAGATGCTTATTTCCCTTTAGTGAAGCAGCTAGTCTTCTGAAATTATCATGCCAGTGGTGGCCCTTTTGTGCTGGAATGAAACAGTTACATGGTAGCAGTTTCATGATGTGGACTGGAGGTTGTGATTTTAACAAGGTTTGAACTTGGGTGTTGACAGATGAAACAAGTAAATTAACTTACTGAGTCCCCCAGTCATTAGTGGCTCATAATTTTCTCTCACCAGGTTCTGTTTTTCTCCCCCACCTTTCCACTTTTCCTTTCTTGATTAAGAGAATTTGAAGCTTGGGCAGAACAATATGCCTTCTCTCTCATTTGCCCTAATGTTGCATGGCCATGTTTGCCTGAGAAAGTCTGGCCCCCACATTGAGACCGACTGCAGGCCTTCCCCCAGAAGAGATGCTCTTGGCCAAGGGAGGGTGAGGTAGCCCAGCACAGCTATTGAAGCAGCAGCTCATTAGTATTTGACAGAACTGCTGTGGAAAGTAGATGGCTGAATTCGTTTTAAATCAGGCGACAAGAAAGATCTCATCTTGTACGGGTGAACCAGACGAAGTTGATTGTTTTAAAAGGGCCATTTGTCCCAAGCAGTTATGACAGTTTATGTTAGGCTGTAGGGAGTAGCCGAAGAAAGGAAAACAGACCTTTGACTTCAGCTCTGGGGAGGGGATCAGAAATGCAAGGTTTATCAGGGCATTTTAGCATTTTAACACTGAGCACTGACCTGTCCAGGGGACTGCAGGGAGACCTTTTTTGTATGCATTCAATTGTGAGAAGTAAACAAACGGGCTCGTATCCTGTGTTTGGTAACTGGGTGGGGAGCACAGTTTGGCAACCAGTGTTGCTTTTAAATTCTTTCTTTGGACAATGGGCCTTGTATACTTTTATATCCTGGCTTTTCAAACGTGGAGAGCTTTCATGAGCTTTTCCTAGGGATAGTTGCAGAGACAACAGAAAAAGCACCATTCGTTTTATATAAATACAGGATTTTTAAAATATTTCATTTACAGTAAAGCAGGAAACACTGTCACTAACCTCCAGCATCAACTCCCCCGCTCACCCCCTAATTATAGTTACTTCAAAAAGAGTTATTTCCCCAATCTTTTATATTATGTGAATGTTGGGTTTGGGGCTTTTTTCTTTCTTTTTTTTCCCTTCTCCTTTTTTTTTTTTTAATGTGAATTAATAACTGTTGAAGAAGTGAAAAAGCCATTTTGACATGAATATAACTATCATTGGGTTTTACATTAATGTGATAACTTGGGAAGGGGTGAAAACAATTGGATCATTTTATGCATGCTGTTCTTAAAATGAAAACACTGGCTTTTCATTTAAATTTATTTAAATTTTGTTGTTAGTGGTATAGAATTTGTTTTTTGGAGTGAAACTCAATTAACTCTCTCAGTGGCATGGTAGTAAGTCTGAAATTGGTTGCTAATATGAGAATGATGATTTTTTTTTTTTTAACTGTAAAATAAACGGCATGGAGGCCGAAAAGAAGCCACCATTTTTCTCTCCCTTTGAACTTGGCATCAGAAGATCTTGATATACATACCAGCTTATGGATGTGTCAGATAAGCCAAGTGCTGGGTCAAGTACATGTAGTTGTTTGTAATGTCCAGTTATTAAACCAGTGCATAATGTTCTGAAAGGGTGAGTTAGTCCTTTCAGTTGCTGAAGTCTTTCTGCTGTTTGGACTAATTCTCAGAATTGGAAAAGCTGCTCTTGATTAACCTGCCCCCCTCCCCCTGCCTCAATTTTATGATGACAGTTGAAGAAGGGTTAATTTTCCTTTCATAATTGTTAGCTGTAATGTGGCTAAGACCTCTACCTCGTTATGATTCCTAGCAGATTAAGGATATTAGATAATTTCCTTCTATTTATTGTACAACTGTACTGTATTATCTTTCTATCACTAAGATAATTACTAAGGAAATCTACATTAATTTGGGGGGGACTGGAATGAGCCCTGCTAAACACAGGCATGATATATTGATGTTTTACACAACACAAGTTTTCCTCCTGTCGTTGTCTCGTCAACAAAAAGATGTCTGTCATATCGCAGAGCCCTTCTTTTCAAGAACACAGCGGGCTGCAGAGAGCAGGACTGGCCACCAGGCTGAAAGGGCTTTCTGAAACGCCAAGTTAGGCATCCAAAGCTGAAGTCGCGTTGATATTACTAAACACTCCTAGTCAAGTACGATGTTGTTTGCTAAATTATTAATGTGTGTAATTAAAATCTAGTGGCTGTTTCTATGAAAGATTTACAATGTTATTTCATCGTTTGTCATGGCTAATTAACAATATTAGATGAAGTTTTTCTTCTTCAAAGGTCTGATTTTTTCTCATTTATTTATGTCACAAGTGATAAACAGAGTAGTTAAAAGCTTCTGCCAGTGCAGGCGGGAAGAAGGCAACTGGTTCTTCCACACGGCGCAAGTTCAGAGTTCAAATCCCTCCCCACTAGTTCAATGTGGACTCGTTTGCAGCACAAATAATTGCAGCAGCTTCCACAAGTCCAGCAGTTCATGGCTTGGCCACAAAACTCAGCCATTCCACACTGCGAGTGGGACAGCTGGCTTGATGAAGGCTTTCTCTTTCAGTGGGAGCAGTCTCCCCCATCCCCCACCCCATTGTTGAAGGCAGCTGCTCCTTTTATGCTGGTCTTGACACTGGGCCCTTTACTCCTCGCTAGTGACCATTCTCAGTTCTTGATGATGACAATGGCTTTGGGAGAAGCCACACTCGAGTTACTTGGGAAGTGGCCATCTCATTTCTCTTCCCCTTCTTCCTGATTTCTTGCAGCAACAGCAGGTGGCTACCCAGCAGTTGGCTTTTCAACAGCAGCTCTTACAGATGCAGCAGTTACAGCAGCAACACCTCCTGTCTTTACAGCGCCAAGGCCTTCTAACAATTCAGCCAGGGCAGCCTGCCCTTCCCCTCCAACCTCTTGCTCAAGGTACGTGCGGATGACCCAGAAGGCACAGCTCTATGGAGACTCGGGGCCAGGCTGGGAGGTTCCCCTGGCACACTCCAGTGCCATCATTAAGGAAGTTGTGCCCATCTAAAACACGTGAAACCCGAAACATGAGCTAAATCAGGACATGTTGGACCCTTGGGAACTCTTGTTAGAGTACTTGTTGATGTCCAAGTGCAGGCTTAATGTGATCTGAAGGAGTAGCAGCAGCAGAGTGGCCCCACTGTCATGTTCCTGGAAGGTAGATGCTACCAAGTAATTTGGGCATTTTTCAGTTTGGAGTCACGGATTTTCTTAAATGCCCTTATTAATAATTTTCAGACAATATTATTTTATCATATGATTTCTTTTTCAGGTTCAAACTTTAGTAGTAATACTTTGTAAATGCCATTTAAAAATCTTGAGAAATGTGGAATTGATTTTTTTCTAAACTATTCATATTATTAATCCTTTTTGTTTGCTACAAAATCCAAAATGATGGGTGAGGGCTGTCTGGCAGCCTGTTTGTTGGTTTTTTCTTTTCTTGTCTTGTCTTTCCTTAAGCACGGTTTGACTGGATATTTGAACAAGTGATTCTGCACTCATGAGAAAAAGAACCATTTCTATCTCTGGTTCTTCCCAAACTCGGGTTCTTTGGAAACCAACAACGTGTCCTGGGCTTTGGTGCAAATTACTTTGGAAAGCCACTGACAGTATGTTCCAAAGTCGTCGTTGGGTATTGGGACAGGGAATGCTGCCTGTCTCTAGGAAGTTATCGTAGTTCAAGAAATTCAGGACTCTTGCACAGGTAACGTGAAAGCCAGTGGGATACCCAGAACCGGACCCAAGAGAGAGGCGAGGAGAATGTGGCACGCATCTAAGTGTGCTGTAGGAGACAGTCTGCCATCCTTTACAGAACAAGAGACTTGAGTGTTCTCCTCAAGACTCCTGAGTGCCCTTGTGTCCAGTCAGTCTGGAAGTGTATGTGTGCGTTTGAAGGCCGATGGGCAAAGCCGTGGGTGTCTTGGATTCAGCTGCTTTCTGAAGAAAGTAGACCATGTAGAACCTTCTCCATTCTGCATGTTACTGACTGAAGGCATGGTCATTTGTTTAGTAATTTTGGCATTAAGTGGATCCAGTGAGGCATGTCTGCATTTGAATTTTCTCTGTTGAGCCAACCACACCCAGCTCTGTCCCTTCTGGGTTTTGTTTGTTTTTTTTATAACACCGAGACCAGAGCTCTTTGCCCTCATCTTCCTTCTTGCCCTCTCATTTCAGCCATTATTGCTGCAGTGCTTGCTACAGAACGCACATCTCAGTTATTGCCAAAGGAGAATAGTTGGTAACATCAAGGCAAGAGGAAAAAGATAGGACATACCAGCTAGTGTGTGTGTGTGTGTGTGTGTGTGTGTGTGTGTGTGTGTTTGGAAATGTTAGAACATGCATTAATTACAACTTGCGGTTTATTGTGGGAAACATTGCCGGCTGTTCTGACACACCCACTGGACTCAGGCTTCCACTTCTTCTTGTCTTTTCCCACCGCTCCTCTACTGTTAAGTTTACTCACTAAGGTTCATTGTTATAGTTCATCAGTTAAGCTGTCCAAAAGAGGGCAATTGGGCAGTGACAAGACAAGCTCATGTGTAATGTGAAAGAAATGAATGTGGTGATGCATGAAGTGTAATCTCTACAGTAACATATCAGAGACACTGGTAGGTAATTCACTAGTCATGGCATTGATTGATATGCTTAGCAGTCGGCTATAACTATCAACCCTGCAACATTAAGAAGAGGCATATTTAAAATATAAAGGGTGCCTATATGTGTGCCCATGATTACTTGAATGTAAATACAGAGATTTCTGGAGTGAGGTCTTGGCAATAAAATGAACTACCTGTGTCATTGCCTTCTCGTGTGAGTCTGGATATGGGCTTTATCTCCCCCACCCTACACCCAAAATGGGCTTGAGCATTCTGTCAGGCTGGACTGCACCACAGTTTTTTTTTTTCCCTTTCATGCAAGAGATGATGGTTTAAAACAGATGCCATTAAGAGATTTAAATCAACTCCCTGCTTGCTTGAACGTGGTCATCTGGGTATGGATGGAGAAGGACAAAAAAAGATTGATCTTGTCTGTTTGTCTTTGAGCCAGTGATACCTGGGTTGTAAAATTGAGTTCCACAAAGAGTAATCTGTCAACTGTCCCCACAACATACATTTTTTTAAACCTGCGCCTGCATTTTCTTTTCTAATGAAGAGGCCAATCGTCCTAGAAAAAAGAACTGTGTGAATGCACATGGGATCTGCCTTAATAGGCTGGTGATGCAGAATAGAACGATTCTTTACATACCTGCTCAGAGCCCTGGTGAAGCAGCCACAAACATGTGCAAAAATGTCAGCATATAGGAATAGATTGAGCAATATTTTGAAGGCCTGTGTTTTTCCTGAAGGTTTTATACTAAGAAGGGATTTTTTCTTTAACTTTCTTTTAGGGCCCTCGTGGTTTTGCATAATCAGCATACCGTAAGCTTTTCATCTTTAGTCATCTGAACCCCTTCAGCACCAGTAATTTCATATAGAAATGCACTTTGAATATTATTCTTGCCTTCTCATTTTTGAAGTGTAAACTATCAATAGGAGAAAATTACCTGCTTGATTAAACTCAAACGGAACTCACTGCCATCCAGTTGATTCGGATGCATAGGCACCCTACTTGATTATTAGTTAGTCACCTGCTAATAGATTTTACTTGATACGATTCATTACTCTTACTCTCCACTTAGGAAGAAATGCTTGCTTTTTGGAAGCTTGATATATGTTTAGTCTTGGTGACTACTGTACCTTATATCTGTCTTAATTCTTCCCTGAGATCTTGTCTTTCTCAGTGAACAGCATCCTTTGGTAGATAAGATGCATCGAGCTAACGGTTTAACTTCTCCAATAAGGTGCAGCAGTGATAGAGGGCGGGATATGCCAGCTTCTCTGTTATGAGAAAGATTCTTGGAGGTAATTATCACATTGAATATTGGCCCAGAAGTACCTGGGTTGTCTCTCTGGGTCCATGCTTATTTACTACTTCTCCCTTTTGCTGATAAAGCAGATGGGCTGGCCAGACAGACTAAGAGAAGAGCAGGGAATATTATGCACACTGTAGATGTAACAATTGGTAATACAGTTGTCTTTAACTGCCCAGTAAGCAACTTCTTACACACTGTTCCAAAGTTCTTCCCTGCCCACCTAAGTTCTGCCCCTGCTCTCCTGTGCCTCCCGTGCAAGGACCCTGGGCTGTCAAGTCAATTCCAACGCAAAGCGACCTCCCAAGCAACTGACCCAGAAATCAATTAGTTGGGGTTGAGAAATAGTCAGCTTGTTCTTTTCATGTGTGTTTACTCCTTAGAAAATCAAAGTAGGTGTGTACCCGTGGGGTTTTGTATCAATATGCTATCATCAACAGACAACAAGCCTATTCAGTATTGTTTCGATTGAGTAAACAGTGGTCGGAGGGTCAGCCGTCTTCACAGGTAATTGCTGGTGTGCAGACAACACTGGCAGGCCTGTTAGCTCCAAATACATCCCACATGTCACTGCGCAAGGTGCTTGAAAATAATAGCCCAGATGCAGCAGAACCGGACATGAGATTGTGTAGTGACCTTTCCCTTTGTTTAATTTGCCTCCAAGGTTTAATTTCAGGGGACAAGCAATAATTGAATATGCCTAATAACTAAATGCTCATTTGGGACAAAATCCATCAAAATATAATTGGCATTTGATTTTTATGAAGGCAGAAGTAGCCCGACATGCCTGTTGAGGGTGCCTTCTAAGACTATCTGACCACATCCGACGCCGCCTTTCACTGTGTATTAATTGCAAATGCTGAAGCATTTGGACATCTCGGAGGAGAGCCGTGAGGGAGAAACCAACTGTTTTTGTTAACGCCACTCTCAGAAAGGCGGGGAAGGTTATTGGTCTGCTGTGCAATAATTTACTCCTCTTTGATATGCAAACGATCCACGGTGAATATAAAAAAATCCTATCAGACTCATTTCACAGTTCTTAACCACTCGGATTCTCTGGAGCCCATCGCCTCATTAGACCAGTGCTCTCCAATGCTAGCGTAATTAAAATCTTTAACAGTTTAGCAAAGTAAAGATGTTTGGCTGATCACGTTGAGATGATTATCTATCCATTGTATTCTAAATGACAAAAATAAATTAAATTTAGACCTTGGCATTTTTTATCATGTGTTTCAAATGAATATAATGCACACAGCCTTCTTTTTTAATTCGATACCTGAGGTTTGTTAAGAAACATGCCTGTTTCGGCTGCTGCTGTATCGTCAGAAAATGGCAGGCCTTCTAGGCTGGCGATGTTACGCTTGATTGAAACAATGAACTGCAATCCAGACGTCCAGTGCCAATTCGAGGTTGCTCTGTGGTGTGGTTTTGTTTTTGTGGTTGGTTTGGGTTTTTTGTTGTTTATTTAGTTTGGGGGGGTGGGTGTTGTTTTGTAGGTGTCCTTTGAAAAGGAGCTGCTACTGTTTTGTCGTTGTTGGTGGATCTTTTGAGTATTTTTTGGTGTGCGTGCGTACACCCGGATGTGCAGTGCCGTGTGTAAATCCAGGGCTGGAGAGGCATACCCCCATAATAGAGGTTAAGAGGCCCACAATTGTGAGAGAGACATCCTGATTACATCTCTTCTTGGGGGAAATAGTAGATTTACTTACCTTCTCCTTAAAACCATTTTGACCCTCTTAAAATACAAGAGAACTTTATGGCTCCAAGTTTATTTTACATTTTCGTTTTCTTCTGAAATGGTTCATTAGCATTGATCTAAGAAATGACAGTAATAATAGGGTTACTTGTGTAAAAAGTTATGCAGTTTTTCAGTAGACACATCCATCAATTAGGCATGCGGTAGTGGAAACCAAAATTAATGAGGAAGATAGGTGTGTTAATGAAATAATCATAGTATAATCAATTTGACTGTTAAAAGTTGAAAAGCATTTCAGGAAGACGATAGGAATTCATAATTTATGTCTGAAAGTGATTAATAAAAACTATATTTAATAACAAAGCTATTTGTCATCATTGAAGACTTAAAGCACAAAAGTTATTCATTTTGTAGTTCATGTTGTCATAATAGTAGAGTTGACTAAATGTTCTTAGAACCCTTTATATCTAAAAGTACGATAATAACTTGGTATGTGTGTGTCCCCGGCTCCCTTCCAAAATTGAGAAACAGCAGTTCGCATGCAAAACAGCTGCATTTGCGAGAGTATTGTGCTCCTTTCTGTGAGCGTCTTGTATGTGTGATGAGGACAGTGCTCAGTAGGAAGACACAGTTCTTAGACCACATTTGCTGTAGTTGGGAGGAAGTGGGGATAACATGCGCGCGATCCCTCACTCGCACACAAAAACCCCCTAACACTAGGCTTTGTTTACTGACTCTTTGATTTAATTACTGTTTGAAGAGGACAGAATTAGCTGTTAATTGATTTAATTATCCAATTTGTTTGTTTCAGGCATGATTCCAGCAGAACTGCAGCAACTCTGGAAAGAAGTGACAAGCGCTCACGCTGCAGAAGAAACCACAGGCAACAATCACAGCAGTTTGGATCTGACCACAACATGCGTGTCTTCCTCTGTACCTTCCAAGACCTCCTTAATAATGAACCCACATGCCTCTACAAACGGACAGCTGTCCGTCCACACTCCCAAAAGGGAAAGGTAGGAGCCAGCCACTGAGCTATTCGCACAAGAAGGGCGGGCGGGTGGGATGGCCTTGCCTCTCCATAGCTGGGCAGGGTCCTGGGGGGGCAGTGGGGAATATATATGTATGTGTGTATATACATATTGGCTCTCGGTGACTTGAATGTGCATATAATTACTTAAGAATTTATTCTGTCTGGGTGTGGAACATCTAATTATTTTCACCTTTCCAACAAGAAGTCCGCACTCATGTAGCTCTGTCCCATGCTTAGAAAACCAGGCAGCCGTCTGTTGTTTCTCATTGGATGGGTTGGATTTCAAGGCTTCCAGGCTTACTCTTTCTGCCAAACGCTTCCTGCCTACAAGCTGAGTTCTTTGGCTGTAAATGCCGTTGAAGGGAATAGAGTGTCTGCTGTGGGCAAATTTGAGGCACACATGGCAGGAAAGATAGAGCTTGCACCATGTAGTCCTTGAAGGCAGGGAGCTCATCTTTTTCCTGGTACGATTTCCCAGGTTCATGACTCAGTAAAGGTCTGAAGGAGGGGGAGATGGAACCAGAAAGAGCACGGCCCAATCTCCTCTCCTTTCGACATGCGCCGTAGCCTTGTCTCAACTGCTGTAGTCCTCTTTTGGAAGGTGGGAGTTAAGACTTTTTAAAAACTGTCTGGAGCTTCACATTAATTGGGAGAAAGATAGGGTTTCTACTCCCTTAAAGAGTTATAGTCGGAAATCCACAGGGGCAATCATGTGTCACAATTGGGATGGCAGTAAGTTTTCACATGAGTATTAGTTGGAGCTTAGGTGGTTTTACAAGAAGAAATATTCACCTGGTATTCTAGGAAAAAGAGGCTGTTAATTCACATGACTATGCCTTAGCAAGTAGAAGCATTGCTGCTGCTGGTCAAGGTTTTCAACAGTGAATTGAAACCAAAAACCAAAACGTTTTGTTAACAAATATGATTCTGTATGGAAGAAACAAATTCTATTTTTTGTGTGTTTATAAAGCTGTCACAGGGAGAAATCTCTTAGCTTTGTTATTCTGGTAAGCAATACTAAATAGCATTTTTCACACTATTGAACATTCAGAAATCTACCCACTGGTTTAGTAAGACGTATCCCTTTATACTTGTAAAACCTCTTTGTTCTGTGAATCCACTACACTACAGATACTTCCCAATTGTTCTCTGTTTCGAGATCAGTAATCACAGAAAGTCTTATCTGGGCGAAGTATACATGGGTACACAAACACACAAACACAACCCTGTGAGAGCTGGAACTCTGCACTGTTTCCCAGGTCTCACAAATTGCCTGCCTTGGACAGGGAGCAATCTTAGCCACTTTCCTGTGGCTCATTTTAGTAGGAAATATTTTTGTTTTCCTTCTCTGACAGGTTTCTGCCTTACGTAGCTTCTGAGATTTGCTGGTTTGTGTGTGTGTGTGTGTGTGTGTGTGTGTGTGTGTGTGTGTGTGTGTGTGTGTGTGTGTGTGTGTGTACACGCTCACAGAAGAGTGGATAAAGTGTGTGGGACAATGGCAGGAAAATGTCATTTTTTGTGAATTTTTCAAAGCTCACTGGTTGATGTATCTCAAGTAAGCGGAAAGCCATGAAAGGTCCCCAGAGACTGGGGTAATGTATATGTTTTGGCCATGACTGCTAACTGTGCTTTGATGGTAGTGTAGGCACTTCTGTGACAGACCTATGAACAACCTGAAGGTTTCAAAAATTTTGGGTTAGTAGAATTTGAAGATGAGAATGATGGACAGTAGAACTCAGTTTGGAGCCATCAGGTAAAATGGATTTTGTTTTTCCCAGGAGGGATGGATATTTCTGTCTGGAGTTCAGTTTTAGCTCTTGACCTGTGAATCTCATATAATGTCTTTATCTGTCTTTTTTATTTTCCAAAATAGGAAACCTTCATTTAGCAAAAAAGGTTCTAGGCTTTGCTATTTTTTATTTTAATGATGTTCTAAGGTTGGTGCTGTCTATTCACTGCAGAGTGATCGAATGACATCTTGTACCCTCGGCAGAGCCGGGACCATCGGCTAAAACCGCCAGCAGATGCACCTGTGGCATTTGTTGCTGTCTTGTCTGTCGCACAGAAAACTCCTCTTGTTTGGATGCACTTTCATGCTAAAGGGACAGGTTAGCAATGAGGCGAGTGGAAGAAGAATAGGCCTTTTCAAGACGTTGGGAAAGTAAATGGACCTAAGAGGCCGTCAAATTCCAGGAGACATTTGTTTGATTTTCTTTTTCTTTTTCTAATGGTTCTTATGGGGCTGCAAAAACGTGGGACACCTCGATTACGATACACGCTAAAATTAGAATGCAGATCAGGGAAGACTTTAGATTCACATGACCTTTACTCAACTTGGCTGTAAGAAACAGACCGAGCCTCCCAGCTGTACAAGGCAAAAGAGAAGAAACTACAAAACGATGTGCTCAATCTTTTGGATATCTCGGTTGCATTACTCTCCTATGTTCCTAAGCACTGGCTGGGTTGAAAGACACGTTCAGCCAGCACATTTTAACTAATGTCCCCCACTGGACAAATGAGTGCCTTAAGTTACAAGTAATCCAGAAATTTTAAGATACAGTTGGTCACTGAAAAATCTAGTACCCACCAGATTTGTGGGCTTAAAATTAATATGAAGGAAGCTTGACGGCCAGTGAGTGTAAACACTCATCTGCTACACTGAAAAGTTTGCGAGTTCCAACCCGCTGGCCACGCCAATCTCCCCAAAAGGTTGTAGCCGTGGAAGCTCGCTCTAGGGGGCAGTTTTGCTCTGGCCTGTAGGGTTGCTGTGGGTTGGAATTGACCGGACAGTAGTAGGTTTGGTTCTGAGTTTGGAGTAAATTTTTAATTTGCACCAATGTACTGTGGTTAATTTTACAATCACCTATGGTTGTGCTCTCTTTCAGTAGTACCGTATGATTCTTTTTTTTTAAGCGCTCTTTACGAAAATTACCTTCTTGCACATCGAGCGCCCTTTGTCTCACGCTCCTTGTCGTTGTCTGCGAGAAGTTTCATTCCCTATTTGTGAAATTTATGCGACAACCAACCATGTCATACCGTGTATGGTTCCCTTCCTCTCCATCCTCATGGAACAGAATGGAACAAGCAAGGACACCCGCCACACTGAAGAATCGTCCAGCCCCTCAAGCGCGAGCTTAGGTAGCAGCTTTCAAAATGCTCTCAGGAAGGATTCGTGCGTGCTGTCTGTGAAATTATGTTCGCCAGAGGCACTGTTGCTGGGAAAGTTGGTTTGTGTCCTTTCTCGGGGAGCGAGCCGCCCCACACTCTCCATGGGGCTGCACGTTTGCAGGCGGTTTGGGCGCCTTCGCTCTGAGTCCCCACGCTGGCCTCGTGCACTCTGCTGGCTCCTGTGAGCAGCCGCTGCAGCAGCAGCTCAGGGGGTTGGTGAGCTGCAATCTGTTAAGCAGATAAATAATGTGCTTGGCACGACACTCTTACTCTCCTCTTTAATTTGTCTTACACAAGGAAAATGATAATTAAATCATTCAGGGTAAACCCTTGAGTGTAGAGATGGGGAAAAAACACACTTTGGTAAAGATTGCCGATAGAAACCCACTTCCCTGTTGTGCAGGGTGGAGACATTTATCAATATTCAGCACTCTCCCTGGAGGAGCGGCCCATGTGATTGGCAAGGCGAATGCCAAGTCTCGTTAAGGTCCTGTCTCTGGGCAATCCCAGGCACTCAACATCATTAGAATTCGGAACTGGTGTGGGACTCCTTGCCCTGATTTTTCGTCTGATAATGTAATCATGTTTACTGTACTGATAATATATATAAATTCATGGGTGCAATAAGCACAGCACCTTTGTCAGGACACCAAGTGGGAACCAAGTTCAGTGGGCAGAGACTCAGAAGCACTATAAGATGGGAGCAAGGCCTCCTCCTGCCACTGTGGGTCTTTTATTCCCCAGGAGTGGGCACCTTGACTGCTTCAGATTGAAAGAGAAGAGTCAGGCCTGGGAGAGCTGCAAACAGCACTGCTATTCTGTTTTCTGAACTTGTGCAACTCTCTCTCACTTTAGGAAATTCCAAATTTTGGTATGGGTAAACAAAATCAACGGAATGCAAATGAAACATTTATTAAAATGCTAAATTTAGTAAAGCCCTTTGAGCTTCTTGGATCAAAGCAGATATGTAAATACAAATACCAATTACTACTTAAGTAATTGCCTGAATTAAAATTCTAAATATGATTGTGAATGAGGGGGAGTGTGGAGTGGGGATCCAAAGCCCATCTGTGGACAACTGGACATCCCCTTACGGAAAGGTCGCGGGGAGGAGACGAGCCAGTCAGGGTGCAGTGTAGCAGTGATGAAACACAACTTTCCTCTAGTTCCTAAATGCTTCTCTCCATACCCCCTGGTACAGATAGGAACTGGAAACAGAGGGAATCCAGGATGGATGATCCCTTCAGGACCAGTAGTGAGAGTGGCGATACCACAAGGGTGGAGGGAGGGTGGGGTGGAAAGGGGGAACCGATTACAAGGATCTACTGATAACCTCCTCCCTGGGGGATGGACAGCAGAAAAGTGGGTGAATGTAGATGTCAGACAGTGTAAGATATGACAAAATAATAATTTATAAATTATCAAAGGTTCATGAAGGAGGGGGTAAAAATGAGGAGCTGATGCCAGGGGCTTACCTAGAGAGCAAATGTTTAGCATACAACTGTTTCCATCGAGCTTATTAGTGAATGCTTAATTATAATTAAGTTTAAATAAGTGTTCTGAAATAAAATTTAAGTTCTGCTCAACAAAACATTTATTAAATGAATCTGTGTGTAGACCACGGCATTCAGAGGAAGACGCCGACATCTCCATTTTCAAAGGGGATGCAGATATTGACTAGCCTTTCAGGAAGGGAGGCAGGGTTACAGAGGACACATCACGGAGTCTGAAAGTTAGCATAGAAGGACAAAACAAGAGCCCCAGGCAGAATTTGCAGAACACAAGTTCACAACAAGCCCCTTCTCTTCAAGAGTC